ATCACAATAAAATGGAATAAAACATTATTTTACTAACATTTAAATTAAAAATGCAATTTTTTTTTGAAAAAAGTCGACGTCGACCTTTCCCAGAACCCAGAAAAGAATTGTAGAAAGTTTGTTGACAATAACTATAGTTGTGACTGAGTAACCGCGAACAAATACACAAACATTCTTCTTTATATATATATAGATAATGATTTTAATGAATTTATTTAATGGAATTTCACGGCTCCAGTTAGTAACTACTAATAATTGAAATGAATCTTCGATCACTGCTTTTAAATCGCTTAGCTTAATCTCATAAACAAGAATGTATGTTTTTTGTGTGTTTGTTTGTTTCTTTGCGATATGCTCAGTCACTGCTGTAGCCGTCAACAAATGTTCTTCAGCTCTTTTCTGGGTCCTGGGAAAGGTCGACGTCTGAAAATCAATATACAAATATTTTAAGCAAATTTAAAGAACTTCTGATTAAAAACTCAGCGATCGGAGGGCTTTGCATTGCCACTCTGCAAAAGCGATATATATATGTGTTTCAAATTTAATCGAATACAGAGGCTGTTCATACATTTTTAGACGATGTATATTGTATTCACAAAACTAAATTTCTATCCCATTCCTCCCGAACAGCTTTCCAGAGTCCTGTTAGGGTTTCGGGACAACGTTTGGATAATGCAGTTTTTAAAAGTCCGAAAGCACAAAAATCAATATGTGACATATCGGCAGATTTCTTAGACATATCAGTGAAGGGTGTGGCCTTGATACCAGTTTTTTGTTCCATTTCGTTTAGGAAATTTACAGTGGATTTTGATGTGTGACTGCTAGCTTTGTCCTGATGCAGTCTCACAGATGGATTGGCACTGTGGGTAAAGCGATGGTATTTCGTTCGGACAAATTGGCGATAAAATATGTTTCTGATAGTATTTGGAGTTCGTCTTGACATTTTTTGCACTCTCTTTATTTTTAACTTGCCATTATAAGAAAAACGAGCAACAATCATGAATCCCTTAGAAAAACTTTCTTTCGATTATTTGAACCATTTACTTAAGGGGGTATCAGAAACCCCTATCCTACAGTTAAATGGCCATTTTCGAGGTACCTTTCTCAAACTCTGCTGTAGATACAAGCTTGAACTTTTCTGTATTAAAGTATACCTATCTTATTATACTGAAGAGCTTTTGAAGCACTTTGAAATTTAGAGTAAATTACAGAATATTTTGTTTGTAAAATTTAGCACTTTTCTCACACAAAAAAAATTAAATTTTTTTTTCTAATTTATTACAAACGCTCGTTCAGTAAGATTAGGGAACCTAATAATCCATAAAAGTTTAGATACCTGTGAGCAGCAGTTCCTAGAAAAGGTACATCGAGTAAAAAAATCACGTTTGGAGAAAACGCGTTTTTATATAAAAATCCTCATTGATCAAAGCAGTAGATAACAAATTAAAGCTAGATTTTTTTACAGTTCTAATTTTCATAGAGGATAAAGAATGGTATTTTTAGAAAGATAAAAGTACGGAGAATTTGAAAATGCAAAAATCCGAAATCACAACTTTTTAAAGATTTTGAGGTTCCAACACCCCTTAAATTTTTGTCTCCCCTTTATGATAATAATGGCTCTTTTTTTGTTGCAATCTTTTAATACACCCATGCTCCATCTATTGTGACATTTGTTTTCCATTTCTTTGGATAAGTGTTTCTCATATAGAATTCTGCAGCGTTCCGCGTGAGCGATTGCTTTGGATGAAGACGATGCACATTGCTTTTTTTTCTCTTCCTTACGATTTAAATCAACGTTATCATTTTGTTACAGTGGACACCGAGCATTTTAATGATTTTGCAACTGACCTTTGAGTAGGGGATTTTTTCTTTTAACATTAAACAATGTACTTTTGCAATAGTCGAAATGTCCTTTTTTCCCTTGGATACTTGTTTGGAATTTTTGTGCCACTTGAGCTCCATTTGACGTTTTTTTTCCTTTCTTGTTGATGATATTACTATCGACGCTTTATATCACAAAACCATGACTCTCACATTGTTTCTGGATAACGGAGTATGCATAATTCTCTTCGGAAAGAGCTTCAATGTAGCCTTCGAACCACTGACTTTGTTAAATTCGCCATTTTGAATAAAAACAAAACTTTAAAGCCACATACGATAATGTTGACTTTTAAAAACATAGTACAATTGTAATTACTTCTTTTGCAGCAAACGATTTTTTATAACCGCTTACCAAACTCGTCGAAAAAATGTGCGAACAGCCTCTGTACTCGGCGATATAAAAAAATTGTGTTGCCAGTCGGGGAAACGCAATTATGTTAAGTTGTCTTAATTAATTTAGTTTTTAATTTAATTAAAACCTCGGCTATTTAAAAGAAATATGTTGCACTGCCCAAATTAAAATATTGCAAAATGTGTTAGCGTTCAGCCAAGCGTAAACTCAAAACTGTGTTTTCACAGTGTACCTATCTGCTAAGAAAGCTATTTGATTTTCTTAACGGAATAATTAAGGCCTTAATTGAAATCCTTAACAGAGCAATAAAAAAGATAGTAAACATTTTATCAGTTTCTGCTGGTATATACATCCTTTGTCAGAAAATTTCCAAGACGTTATAAAACATATAAAATTGCATTTAGCAAGTAATGATCTGTGTCCGCCGAGAACATCGCGGCAAAAACATCGCGGACGAAAACATTGCGGAGAAAACAACGCAAGACGAAAACGTCGTGCTACAAAACTTCGTGGGAGAAAACATCACAAAGAGAAAACATCGCAGTTCTAAAACATCGTGGCACAAAACATCGTCGTCGAAAATAAAGCGGTTCAAAAACTTCGCAGTTTAAAAACATCGTCGTCGAAAATATCGTGGTAAAAAAAAAGTATCTACAATCATCGCGTGACGATAACATCGCAGACATGCTTTTTTCAGATTTTAATAATTAAAATGGATATTCCCATAATGATTTGGGAGCGCAAGATGTAAGAAGGATAATTTTTACCTTCACATTTTTCATTAACTAATAAATTTTTGCTGAAAAAGTAAAGGAAACTTAAGCATAGAAAATTAAATGCACTTATAGATTATACTTCTCATGAAACATTACCAGTAAAACTTTATAAAAATGATTTGCTAATGGTCTTTGTGAGTTAACTATGTCAGTTTAAAATTCCATTAGTGAATTAAGTTGCATTAATTTTCTATGCTTAAGTTTCCTTCTTATTTTCTCAGGAAAAAATTTATTAGTTAATAAAAAATATGAAAGTAAAAATGCCATGCTAAAGCTTGAATAAAGCATGTCTGCGATGTTATCGTCATGCGATGATTTGTAGATACTTTATTTTGTACCACGATATTTCCGACGACGATGTTTTTAAACTGCGAAGTTTTCGAACCGCTTTATTTTCGACGACGATGATTTGTACCACGATGTTTTAGAACTGCGATGTTTTCTCCCACGATGTTTTGTAGCACGACGTTTTCGCCTTGCGTTGTTTTCTCCGCAACGTTTTCGTCCGCGATGTTTTTGCCGCGATGTTCTCGGCTGTAACCGTAATGATCTTAGCTATTATCAAAGTAGCCCCCTTGGCTACATATACACAACTGCAACGTTTCTGGAGACCTTGGAAGCGAGCTGGGAAATCTTCAACCGCGATGCTTGCAAGCTCATTTGTGACAGTCCATTGGATGTCGGTAATAATCTTGATGAAACTTCCCTTTAAGTCACCTTTTAACTCACGGAACCAAGAAAAAAATCACAATCTTGGACACAAATGTGGAATCGCGTCTGGCTGTATCCAATAGTTCCGCAGAAGTTCTTCGTCTTTCCTCTTTCTATTCATCTGTTTGTGAGTGAGTGAGTGAGGGACGGTTCTTGCACCAAGTTTCCGTTTCCTTAAATCTTCGCGTAAAATCTTACGACACACATCGCGATTCAAATTCAGTTCTCCTGATATCCATACGGACAGTTACACGGCGGTCTTCTTGCTATACCTGCCTTACACGCTGTACGTTTGCATCGGTATCAGCTCTGGGATCGTCTTTGAGCTGAATCTCTGCCTTCACGAAATCTTCTCCGCCACTCGAAAACACAACTTCTTGAAAGCGCCATGCCTGCATATGCTTGCTTAGTCATTGTCCACGTTTCACAAAGTTTTTCCGAAGCTTAACGCAGAACTTAATGTTCACACTTTGCTCACAATCAGCATCCATGGACACAATGGTGTCACCGTGTCACATTAACGAAAGCGACAACAATACGAATAGTGTGTTGCTATGCACAGCCCTGCCCCCTAGTACGTTTCTGCGGAAACATAGCCAAGGTGATGTAAAGAAAGAATAAATACAAGGTTGTAGAGTCATTAGGTTAATTGGAAGCCGAAAATATGCAACCGGAATCGAACCACGGAACTCTGGAATACCGGCCCAAGGTGCTACCGTTACACCACGAAGGCACGCTAGGGAAGTGGGAGAAATACCTCATATACTCCCCTTTCTAAAGGGCGACTAGGGTTTTAGGGGACCTAGTCGCCAAATCCTGGGTGCGGAGAATCATCATCCACAACCCTTTTAGTTCTGGCGCCACTTGTAGAGTCATTAGGTTTAATTGGAAGCAGAAAAAATGAAAAATACGCAACCGCCTTCGCCGGGAATCGAACCACGGACCTCTGGAATACCGGCCCAGCGTGCTACCGTTACACCACGAAAGCAGCTTGGGAAGTAGGAGAAATACCTTATAAGGTAGCCATAAAAACATTTGTTCCTTTTTAGTACTGAAAATCGGAAATAAAAATTAAAGTGTCCTTGGAACGTTTCTGACAAAGGATTTATTTGGCAAAAAAAGATGCATTTTCTTAGGAGGGTGGAAGTGCCCCTCGCATCACTCCACTCTCTACTCCCGCGTCATTTGGCGCCTTACTTTTGCTTTAAATTTTAAGCTGTTTTGCAAAATTGTTTTCAGAACGTAACTCATGAAATAAATTAAAGAACCTCTAACGTATATTCTGTCAAGTTTTGTTAAACGCTTTATTAATTTACGTTCATACATGCTAGCATACATTATTACAACTTAATTGAATATCAGTCTGGTACGGAAATAGATTTAATTGTTTCTAGCCTCCAATTTTGTGAACTCGGTGTTCTCTAAAAATCTTTGATGACGTCACCCACCATTCTATTAAGTTCGGGATCGTTTCTGATAGCATTAACGACGTCCGGGACGTCTATGGCAGCGCTGCCTCGGCTGACAGCACTGTTCACTGCCATCTCTATTAATTCACAGCAGAAGTATTCTTCCGCAGCTGCCAAGTACAGAGGCACCTCAGGAGTGACGCATCCTCTCGGTTTGCCTTTTTCCAGTTGGTTATGTATATCAGCTACGGGAAATATAGGACGCTGCTTGGTTAACTTTTTGGTCGTCTTCTTCTTTCGTTTCTTCTCCTTCTTTTGTTTTTTTTCTTTCTGGCCCGTTGCAGAAGTGACGGCTCGTTTGGTGCGGCTTAGAATATCCATCCTAAATCAAAATAAATTCAAAATTACTTACAACTTGCACAAAAAAAAAAAAAAAAAAAAAAATTGGGACAGTTATATATTTCCCGTTGTACTGGACCGACTGTCGAATTTTAATTTAATCTTACCACGTAAGCGCGACTTAGGATATATATTGGATTTCTATATAGGATTGTTCTAACATGGGTATTTTGACACAAAATCGGACTTTTTTTGAAATAACACACCAATTCTTTTTTCCATATTTCGATTCTACAACTCTACGTACACCTACATATTAAATTTTATAATTTGTGGTGAAAAATGCGCCAAGATAAATTTAAAAATTTATCTTGAAATTTTATAATTTGTGGTGAGAAATTTACAGATAAATTTAAAAATTTATCTTGGCACAAATGAAAAAATGCGCCAAGATAAATTTTAAAAATGCGCCAAGATAAATTTAAAATTTATCTTGGGGGATTTTTTTTACTTTGTGCCAAGAATAATTCACTTGGCCTAACTTTTGATTTATAGTAACCTATTTTCCTTTCCTTTTTTCTATTGCACACGAGCGGATCCCCACTGGGGGTTGACTCAGGAGAATTCCTGGGAAGTACTAGCTAGGATTTGTACGTAGGCAATCTCAACCACAGGGGTATATAATCACTCTTTAGAGGACTAGAATCCGAGTTTATTCTCAGGATGGTTCAGGCTTGGCATGAACCATACTATAGTGCTGTCGTGTCTGCACCTTGGCTGTGGCGTTGTTACATCGTAGTTCGTCGTTGGCGGGATGCCACTCAATTCCGTTTGGCAGTAGCCTCAGGTCGAAAGTTGTCTCGCTAGAAGTGTTGTTCACGAGCGGAAAAAAAGTTCATCGTTCGTACTTTCAAAAAATTTTAACAAAGCGCGTAGACCACATTTGGCGTTACTATCGCTTATAAGAAATATGCCAAATTTTAAAACGCGCCAATATGTAAATTCACGTATGTCTTCGGAAATTTTGAATAAAAAAACCTCTAATTTTCTGCAGGTATGCTTAGAAATACATCTACTTTAAGATGATGGTAAAAATTTTATAGTTTATAACTGAAACTTTTTTCGAAAAATTTATAAAAATTATTTAAAAATACAAATTTTAAAAATAAATCGTACAAAATGGACAAATTTTATTTTAAATGAAGCTGAATTTCAAAATATGAAAAGGAGAATCAAACAAATTTAATTAAAAAAAAATTTCATAAATATATACCAAAATCAATTAACATGGAGGAGCTAAAATTTTGAGAGTTAATTGTCTACAAACTGCTCGTGCGATTTTTACAAAACTTGGTAGTTTGACATAATTTGAGTCATAGAATTTAAATATGGGAAATAATTGCTGTATTAATTCAGAAAATGTCTGATTTTTTGTGACAAAACACTATCAATATCCTAAATCGCTTTTTTGAAACATGGAAAATGCAAGTTAAATTTCGACAATCGGTCCAGTAGAACGGGAGATATAGAACTGTCCATTTTTTGTGTGCAAAAGTATACATAAATTATTCGTCACAGTAGAGGTACTGATAATCACAGGGGATTTTGAGTAACTGTTTAATGTTGTGCTATTAAGGACTTCATGCATTCTTTAAAGCATGATCCGTATTGATCAGTATCCTTTGATCCGTATTGATCGAATAATCTTTAGGTAGAAAGATGGAAATATCGAGATTAATGCAGCTGGAGAGAGGTAGCTCTAACGCTTTTCGTTCGGTCGTCAATTCAGTGTTTGTCTAGACAGCGATTGATCAAAAAAAGAATCATTTTGTGTTATACGTTTCGCGAAGTGCGAGTTCCTTCACACCTGTTCAACGTGCTAATTTAGAGCTCAGGGCATTACGCGACGATATAAGAAATTGCAAGACACCGGTTATCTGTGTAAAAAAGAAATCGCCTGACCGTCCCCACCAGACGATAATTCGGAGCGCGTTCGACAGAATTTAGCACGTAGTCTACAGAAACGTTTCACTGAGAACCTTTAATTCAGTTGGCAAAAAGGCTGTATGATTAGTCATATAAAATTAGTCTTAAGTTTTAATGCTCAGTATTTTTCATGAAATACGCATTTCAAATCCGCTGATTCTCTTTCAAACACTCTGTATTGTGCAGGTATATACATCGTGTTCTATTTTCTCAATTAGTGGTCGTAGACATGCATTCTCACGTAGTAAATGTTTTAAATGACGCAAATATTCTTGTTTTAGTAATTTTAAAGTCATTTTTGTCAAAATTACGACATATAACATCTTATACTTTTGTCTGGCTTCTATACTTATATTTAGAAAAATATTGTAAGAAATAAAGCAGAAAAAAAAAAATCTGACTTCCGTACAACAAAAATTTGTATTTTTTTGTAGTGTCATAGTTTTTTTTTTTTTTTTTTTTTTTTTTTTTTAAAGGAGGAGACGTGAAAAATTTTTTTTTTTTTTTGTGCAGTGATTGCGCATTCTCTTTCCTAAGCTTAAATTAACATTTTATTCTGTACAGGTCATCGGAAATGTAAGCCTGAAACAATGGGTGAAATGCTAGTATACAGTACGATATATATAGATGGCGCGAATTTGAAAATCGTTGCCATGACTAAAATGACGCGTTTACTGCTAAACATAAACAAAAAATACAGATATAAATCACCATAAACTCTAAAAGTAAAATCTGTCACATTCACGAATGCAAAATGGCTATACAATCAACAGCTCAACAAACAAAATATAATAACCTACCAAATCTCGCCAAAATAATCGCTATAGAATGCAAACTTTATCGCCTTTCGAATGTCGCCAAACTTCGCTAAATCCCATGTGTACAGTATATTAAGATTCAGCCAAACAAGGAAATTTTCTGCCTACAATTGCATTTGGCATTTGCGGATTTTCTAGTCATTTCTTTTATGTTGTTTAAAACTATCTAAATATTTTCTTCTCATAAAAGAAAACGATTTTCGCACCGAGAAAAAAGGGACTCCATTAGATGTGTCGAGTAAGCTTCACATTCGCCAGGCATAAAAATCTCTAAATCTACATTATTTTTAAATTCTGAAAGAATGCAAAAGCATTCTTCCAGAATTTAAAAATAATGTAAAAGCATTCTTCATCAAAAAAATGAAATGTAGTCCTAATATGACTAAATACCATTAAAAAAAAAAGACTTGGTATCATTACAAAATTATATATTTCGGCATCGCATAAAATGAACTCAAAATCGAACAAAGCTGCTTTTAGTGATGCGTCAGAGTAGAATTTAAAAGACGTTGACAGCTGGAATTGCTTGTCATGGTTTCAGAAAGAGATTCTGTTATGTTATTGAGTTAAACAAGGTAGATGTTAAATTTTCTACGGGAGAACACTTTTATGGTCTTTTTAAACCTGTGTCTGCTATTTGTAGAAATTTTTCCCTTAAGGAAGATAAAATTTGTTTGATGGTTACAACTTTTTGTCTCTTTCGGCGAAAAATCTTTCTCATTTGACGTAAACAACGGTGATAAAATCTTCATTGCTTGCCATGCAATTCATACAGTTTTAGGTAATTACAAACATTATTGATGAACTTCCGTTGTTAATTCTGTGAAATCTTGTTTTTCCATCAAGTATATTGTTACGAATTTTGTATATATGTGAGTAATTTTAGTGAGATTGTTTGTAAATTGTAGTATCTATTGTATAATGTAACATGAAAGGCCTCACGAAAGCGAAGCTTCGCTGAAGTAATAACGTTATAGGGGCAAGTCCATTTAAAATTGAGGTAAATGGCTAGTCCAAGCTGGCATTTGTTTTGGTGAGCAATTTTTGTCGCCAAGTCGATGAGAAATCGCCAGAAGTCTCCAAAGTTGGCGACACTTGACGACATTTGGGTCCGATCCCTGTATAGCTATAATTGTTCCTCCCCTCCTGGCGTCGACGGAGATAATTCTCTTTGCTCGTTACGATCTGTATCTAGGCAGTCTCGGCCTCGGGGGGAATAAAATCAGTCGACTACAACCATCGGTTCTTAGGTGGTAGGGTACATTACGTAGAGACCGTTCTGGCACTATTGTAGAGATATTAGGATTTTTGATGCTGAGAGACGTGAAAAATGAGCAATGCCCTTAATATATATATTAATATATATATATATATATATATATATATGTATGTATACGTATCAAATATTACATACAGGTATAACAATTTGAGAATATTTTTACAAATATGAGAATATGCAAGTGTTTGAATGAAAGCCAATACTCAAACAGCTTTGCTGCCGCTAAAGGGAGATAAAAAATTGTCTTTAAATTAACACTTTGATTTAAATCAGTGCACCAACGGCCGGACGTCACTGAGCACCGGTAGTTTAATCCAGGCTCGGATGGCTGCACTGCCATTTTTTGTGGTTTTTCCCGTGTGTCTAACGTGTATACCAGCCAATTTCCCTTAGAAAGACTTCCACGATGGCATTCTCCACTTGGGCAGATAGACCTCGAGTGCTTTCCATAATAAATAAGCCAAACCAAATTAGTTAAATCAATGCTAAAATCATGCTAATTTTTTGCAATTTTTATAGATTTGGTTTTCACTTGCGGAACATTGATTATGATAATTAAAAGTCTAACATGTTTATACACTCAATATTTAATAAGTTCCACTGAATCACCTTCTCTTATTTTAAATATAGTACTTTTCATGTATCATCCCTCAGTTTCATAGGGGAATATTTACTTTAACAATGCAATTAGCAGTTATTTAAACTCAAAATAATTAGAAATACCACCACCAAAAAGACGAATTTAGTAGATATAGTGCTAAGACAATATATGCTATTTCAACATTTTTCATATTAAATACTGGAAACCGCAAGTATGATGAAATATGAAATATAAATTTACGTGTTAATTCCAAATTAAAAAACTTAAACTTATTTTACGTATTAATTTAAGTGTAAAAGTTTCTTATTTTAATTTACGTGCTACTAATGTTAATAAATCCCCATTTCTTTGAACCCAAATTAAGATGAAATATAATTATCTTGCAAAGGTACACATTCTTCGAATTCCAAGGAAATCAAAAAGAAAATAAAGCAGAATTTTTCAACAGAATCATTTTCAGATCAACATTCACTGAAAGATTTGATAAGCGAATTTTAATTTATAGCGATAACATGAAAACTAAGCACAGAATAATTCCGTGAGAAGAAAATATTATTTTTAATTTATGCACTTGTTTATTTTACCCTTCCTTATGTAAATTAGTGCTAGAGAAAGTAGTTTGATGTGTTTCTAGGTAAACGGAAATATATTAATACGTTCTATGTTTGAAAATTGTTATTTCACAATATTGTACTAGAATTGTTTACACGATACACATGATATTCATTAATGAAAAGTCTGAATTAAAGAAATGAAATCTGCTTTGTACGAATGTTTAAAACATAAATTTATTATATGTCATTTAGGCGCAAAATAAATTTTAATATTCATTTTCAAAAGTACTCTTCTATTATCGGAACCGGACTCAGAAATGCATGTATGTATGCACGTGTATGTGCATATATGTGAGTATATGTGTGTGTATACACATACGTACAGAATATACACATACATACATATTTGCTCTTAAATGGATTGATGAAGATGTTAACTCGTATATTACATTACATATATATGCAAAGAATATACACATGCGTACAAGAGCAATTTAATTAAAATTATGTTACATTTTCTATAAATTTACATTACAAACTAAGAATTTTATTTGCAATATTTTGTAAAATACATCTAATGCTTTTGTCGGTACATGTTGCAAAGTGACATGTTTAAATTATTTTAGAGAAATATAAAGTATTATATGAATTAAAGTAACCAGAATAAAAATATGAGTCTAGAATATAATAGTTAAAGCATGATACTGTAAATACATTGAACCATGCTGCGTTTACATCTTTCTTGGTCTACAAATTAAATTAAAAGTAATAAAAAATTTAAATTTCCTAATGCAAAATTGTTTATTTGAAACGAATCTTAGTACCCAAAACAAATATGTAAAATAATGCTTAAAACCTACCTTTGTAATGTCAGATTCTTTGAAAATAACTATGCCTTCATTATGGAACATAATTTTAAATTATTTTCATTACTCTTGATGATTTCGTCGTTGCCTTTCTGTAGAAACTAATGATTTATTTATTTCTTCGTCTTTTTTCAAAACTAATGCACGGACGCAATTATTTTACATTTAACCGTTACAGGTCTAATGTTCAAGCGCACGTTCTGTTTTAAAACGCGAGCGAACTATACAACTTTCAAACTTTTGCATAAAAACTGGTAACTCCTCCGGAACGGCGAGCTTCTTATATGTTAATCAAAAATTCATTAAAGTTTTACAAAATATGCAACAGATAATAAAAGTAATTCCAAATTCCAAATTTGGGTTTCCAGATGCCCATGTTCGAATAAAGGACTACGTTATTCAAAATTTGATGTCTCTACGTACCTTTGTTTTCACAATGCAATAAACATGCTATTTAAGATTCACGCAGATTTTTCATTATTCATTTTCGTTAAATATAATGCAGGGCTCTAATATTTGGTGGCAGCAATTTGAAAAAAGTGAAACGTTTTATAGTGGACGACGCAAAATGAAAAAACTTAATTAATAGCTCTTCTGAGCTAATTGAAAAATTCGTAGAAAGCCATTTTGACCATTTTCGTCTTCGTATGACTTTAATTAGAGCAGATATTAATTAAAAACTCTGAAAATGCTAATTTTCGCACTCATTTTTCCGAGTGGCAACAGTCTCTCGGAAAAATAAAAGATAGATAAAAGTGCTTTATTTTTTAAAGTGTTGCCACTTCTTTCAAATCGTAGAGATTGTTAATCAAAAAATTTGTAATTTTTATAAAATTTGAAATAAAAATAGCATTGCCAAACATTGAACATATTATTATTATATAACGTCATGTTTTAACGTTGAAGAAAGCAGACGATTGCCAGGTCCATGACGATTACATGGTGACGTCACTGTATGCCAAAAATTATTCGTTAGTATCAGCATTTTAAATAAATAACTGCTGTTGGTAACTTTTTTTTTGTTTTGTTTTGTTTCAAGTTAGTATAATTGATAAAATATATTATTATCACGTTAATGTTTTATTAATATTAAGAAAATGTTGTTGTATTACATTAAATTCAAATCACGACGACATACGTATTAAATTGAAGTGACAAAAGGTTTTGTTTCCTGGTTTGGCAACAAAAAATTATTTACGATTTCGTTGTTTCTTGGAAAGAACGGACTAATTTCTTTCATATTGAATGTTTTCATATATTTGATTTTCAAAGGTACAAAGAACTTCGAAATTTTCCGTGGGTTGCTGCCCGCTAGCCTATAAAATAATTTTTTGCAATGAATGGTCACAGTATAGCACAATTGAAACAAGGAAGAACACATGTATCAAGAATGAAAGAAATAGCATTTTCATTGCTAAACTAAAATTAAGAACAAGACTTCATTTTCAAAATTTGAACAGTATTTTATTACCTCAAAAGGGACGTTTGTCACGAATGGATATAAGCCTCGAAACAGTATTTTGTAGTGAAACAATTAAATGCGTTATATCAATTTTCAAATTGCTGCCACCAAATATTATCCACCTGTATCATATTTAAAGAAATTTAATAATGAATATTCTGTATGAATGTATGTATGGTTCTCGCAGTGTGAAAAAATGCCTAATGCCACCCAATTTTGAATAATATAGTCCTCCTTTCGAACATAGCCACCTCGAAACCCGAAATCTGAATTTATTTCATTTTCTGTTTCATATTTTCTAAAATTTTAGCGAATTTTTGATTAACAAACTGAATGATTTCAAAGCGGCAAGTGGCAACACTGTACGAAAAAAAAAATTTATCTCCAACGCACAAGATTTTCAAATGGAATTTCTAAAGATACAGTGTCTCAAAAAAAATGATGGGACACTTGTGCTTTACAAAAGGAAACTGCAATAAAATAAATTTAAAAAATATGTAAAATTTTTTGTGGGTGTGTTTCATACTTAAATTTAGTAACAATTATTACATAACATACATTTTCTCAAAATGTTAATTTAATAAAAATACAATTGTTTAGAACGGAGCAGAAAATGGCTCACTTAAGTGATGGGACACTACGTACTATGCAAGAAAAATCGTCTGAAGTGAGCAATAAAAATATCTTTTGGAGTATTTATTTTTACTCAAAAGCAATTAGCAATAATTTATAAAATCGTCTGCAGTATTTCTCTCCAGTTTGTTTTGGAATTTTTGTGTTTTTTAGCTCTGTGCAGCCATGAATGCTAAACGAAAAGAAACTTTGCCTGGAATTCGAAAATTAGTTATTAATTTGCATATTGAACGTGGAAAATCTATTAGAGAAACTACTGAAACAGTTAACCTGAGTCATTCAACAGTTTTCAATATCATTAAACGATATAAAAAGAATCATGAGATTCAGGATAAAAGAAGACCTGGCCGACCATCAAAGCTATCCAATGGAATAAAGCGAATTATCGTTTGAAATATTTAAAAAAAAAATCCAAGAATGAGTGCTCTTAAAGTTGCTGCCTGATTTACAAGCATTATATGAAGTAATTGTTAATTCTGAGACTATTAGAAGAGTAATTCGATCTACTGGATATCACGGTAGAGCAGCCAGGAAAAAATTCTTCGTAAATGAAAAGAATAGAAAACTCTGACTGGCTTTCGCAAAATCCAACATAAATAAGAATTCTGATTACTGGAATGAAGTTATATTTGCTGATGAGAGTAAATTTAATATATTTGGTTCTGACGGTAGAATCTTGGTGTGGAGAAAACCCAGGGAAGAATTTCGCAAACAGAAATTGGTGCCAACAGTAAAACATGGTGGAAGAGGAGTTATGGTATGGGGGTGTATGTCGTCCGCTGGAGTTTGTAATCTTGTTTTTATTGACAGTATAACAGATCAGTACAAGTATATTGACATTTTAAATCAAAATTTGAAATCTTCAGCACAAAAATTGAACCTTCATAACGATTTTAAATTCTACCAGGACAATGACCCCTAGCACAGTGCTTTGAACGTTAGACTCTGGCTGCTGTATAACTGTCCTGAAATAATAAAAACACCCCCACAATCTCCACAATTAAATCCCATAGAGAATATTTGGCAAGAATTCGCAAACACACCATTTCTTCAAAACAACAATTAAAATCGGTGCTTCAAGAAGAATGGGGTAAAATCACTCCAAAAATCACAAAAAAAAAAAAAATTAGTCGAATCCATCCCAAGAAGATTAAATCATGTTTTAAAAGTAAAAGGAAATCCAACAAAATATTAAAACCTTTTAAAAAGTAAAATTTTTGGATAAATATTTGATGGAGAAGTAAGTGTCCCATCACTTAAGTGAGCCATTTTCTGCTCCGTTCTAAACAATTGTATTTTTATTAAATTAATATTTTAATATTTTGAGAAAATGTATGTTATGTAATAATTGTTACTAAATTTAAGTATGAAACAGACCCACAAAAAAATTTTACATGTTTTTTTATTAATTTTATTGCAGTTTCCTTTTGTAAAGCACAAGTGTTCCATCACTTTTTTGAGACACTGTATGCTGTTGTGAAATATTTTGCGATTTTTTTGTTGAACCGAATTTTATGGTGCGCAAGTCCCAAGAACGAGATGTTTAATAAATAAAGCAAACACACAAAATGTTGATAATAGAAAGACAAATAAGGTTTCGTAACATTGATAAGATGAGCTGAGAATAAACAGAAAAATGTGTACCAACATGTAATGCCACATCGGGAATTCTAAACGTATACTCTTATACTGCTTTTAAAATTTTCGTAGTTTTGCAATTGACTTCTATATGGCGTAAGTACGAAGAAAATGATTCTTAATAATAAAGCTAAAAAGAGAGAAAAAGTGTTTTAGTAGGAGTTCAGTGTAACAGTAGACTGTGACTGTTAAAGTGTGAAAGCTTTCAGATTAAAGTCTGTTAAAGTCTGAAACCTTTCAGATTTATTTAATTTTTAGTCCAAACGGATAATTTGCTCAGAAGGATTATTAATTTCGTTTTGGCATTTTGCGCTGATTCACTACAAGCGTTGGTTAACTTTTCAAATTGTTGCCACAAAATATTATCGAACTCTATAATGCTTAAAGAAATTAAATAATGAAGAACCTATATAAATGTATGTATGTTTCTTGCATTGGGATAAAACCACGGTACCTAGAGCCATCTAATTTTCAATGACTTAATCCTCCTGCGAATATGGGCATTTGGAAGCCCAAATTTGGTATTTGTTTTATTATCGTTTTCATATTTTGTAACATTTCAACGAATTTTTGATTAACAAACTCAAGGATTTCAAAGCGAGCCATGGCAACATTGCACAGAAAAAAAAAAAATTATCTCCAGCGCGCGACACTGTGTATCGGAAATTCTAAGAATATGCTCATTTTAAAATTATTTTTCGCTACTGCTATTAAATTGAACTTTATGATTTGAATGCTAAGAACATGATAAATAAAAATAATACACAAAAAAGTTAAAAAAACGCCCCTTTGGGTGTAATGTAAAATCTGAAAGCTTTCATATTTTATATAACAGTTAATTTTTGTTTATTTGATAAATACACTGAAATTCCAAAACGACTTTCGTCCGCATAAAATGAAAATGGTTGTCTTATGAGCTTTTTTAATAGATAAGAATTTGACACTTTTATTTATGTTTCTTTTTTGAGGGGACTCATACACCTTAAAACCCATAATATTGTTCGCATAGGTGACTGTTGCGAGAATTGGGATAACTTATTTATTTTAAAAGCAATTACTACCAACTTTTTACAGCTGACTACATAATATAGCTGCTTTCTGAAATAGTAATCAGAAAGTTTGTTTTGCCACAAATATTTTTATAATTTAATCCGCTTTGTGACAACATTTTTCGTCATGTTTCCAACTTGCGCGCGCAGTTTAAAACATTTTGTTTCATAACTTGATTCCATATTTAATATATAGCTTTTATAACATTTGGAAACTACTGTGAACCTAAAATTCTAAAAATTTCATGCTAAATTTTTATTTTATTTTGTATTGAGTTTATAAAATGTATTTTATTAAAAATTTTTTAATGTTTCCGCCCATAAAATTCTTCAATATTAAAATATTC